ATTATCGACATTATTGCTTGATCTATTCCCGGACAGATGGCGCTGTACGTAACCTCCTTGATATAATTCGAACTCACTTTACATGTATTTCTTCATTTGCTGCTGCCTTATTTGTAACCCTCCTTTGAGCGCCTGCTACCTTGGGCTTGGTAGCTGATTTTCAGGCTCCCTCTCCGGAATCGGAAAATATCAATGGTCATTTTTCTAAACAATATACATACAGCTGATTGATCCCAAAATTTCGATAAAATAAATATAGTTTAAAAAGACTAAAAAATACGCTTTTATAACATACGAAACTGAAAAATTAATTTATCAGCTACTTCCGTTGTTGTGTTTCCAGCGCCGGGCCAGTGCCGCATCATATAAAGGACTGTCATCATTTCCATTGGGCATGATGTATTCTACTGCCGTGAAGAGTGTTTTCATTTTGTGATTTGATCAGCAATTAGCTTTAAACTATGATGTAGACACTGTAGTAGTTTTAAAAATATTACCGACCATTGTAGATGATTGTGTTTGGTTTGGACTACTAACTGTAATTTAACTTGAATTTGAGAAGCATATCGATCGTGAAGAACAGCGTGTTGGAGTAAGTTAATAATCATATATGTATTTGTCTCAAACTGTTGATTGTCTATTACTTATTCAATACACATTGTATCCAGTACGATGAATAAAAAGTAAAGACAAGCGTTAGTTGGATGATTGACAAAAAGATGTACCTACCTCTCCCAAACACGTTGAATTTCGTTAGCATCGAATGCATTTTCACTAGAATTGAACAGATTATATTTTGTGGAAATGTTTTTCATAATGTAGAAAAATACTGGGTTGGATCTCAATATCTTACTTCATTCTAATCTTAAGGGGGACATTTTCACGACCTCACAATATATCTGAATAAGATGTATAAATTATTCTTGAGTTTTTATAGGCTATACGAAAATTTATTAATATTGTTATTCACGTGGCATGTTCTCCGTAACTATTTCGTCGAATTGAACTCAAATTTTATCATTTCGTGCATATTGAAATTGAAATTTTTCATTATTTGTTATAACTACTCAACTATTATTTATCAGTAGGTATTATACATATTGTTATTTATTGATGTAATATTTCGCTAGGAATAACTCCATCAATCTCTTTCCTGTTTTATTCTCATAAAATTGATGTTATATCATGAAATGTAGATATGAATGTAGAGATTTTTGTTATTGTAGAATAAAATCAGTGTTCAATCATTAGAATTGTACATTCCTCATAAGCACTCTCAGTTTATGAATAGGTAATGAACAAACAAACGGAAAATCTATGCAAAGTGCAGAAGATAAATATAAACAATGGTTTTATTGAGAGGCATCAATTGTTGATTTCTAGGTTTGTTATTTGATCAACATATAATCAACCCGAAAAATAGATGACGAAAAATAGATTTACCTACTGGTAAATGCTCTAATAGACTCCTATTTGAGATAGACTGAGAAAAAGAGCATGCCATTTTGGCGGTATGTTTCTAATATACGGTCTCCTTCAAAACACACTGGTGTTGCAGGAAAGAGTAATAAAAAACTTTTCAAAAGTAAAGACTCATGGGTCCAGGAAAGTTTTTCTGCTAAAAAATACTTGCATAAATTCAATTCTACCACCTCCCAATATGCTACTAGCAATGTGGATTGTACATCAATTAATTGAGGTCAAACTCTCCTATCACATTAAACAAGGGATATCAAAGATCAAAGGCTGATTTTTGTGAGACTGACTGTGCTAGTGCATAGAACAGTTCCATTCTGGCATGGTATACTGATTTTAATCTTCTATGAGTGTATGCGTACCTATGTTTTGTATTACATATTGTAATTTTGAATTGAAGATTGCTGATATTTCATATTGTATTAACGTCTAGAGCATTTTGTGACAATGTGCCAAGATATCTTAAATTCGATCCCATTTGAGTTAAAAAGATAGTTCTTTGACAAATTACAAATAGAAGCATTACTCATTTTAATGTAGTATTCACGATGTCCTCTCAACAGAATAAAGAATAACCACTTTGAAAATCATTCATTTATTTCTCTGCTTTGTTGATAAGATTGTACTGTACTTGATGACAATAAACTATGTTGGATATTTTATCAAGGATAAAAATGGTTATTGTCGGTTATCCCTAAGAGATAAACATATACGGACTTTTCTGTAGACTTTTTTAAGGTATACAATACTGTAATGCATTTTTTATATATCTCGTAGGTTTTAGCCTCAGATATATACTATATATACTTGGTTTAGCGTTTGCAATGTAAGCGCAAAAAAATGTGTTCATTTACGACATCACATTAGAAACTTCCAAAAGTATCGGTGTTTCTCTACTATAGTATGCATGTAATATACATAGGTATAACCCTTTCTCTTGAATCACTATATTTATTTANACGCCGCAATGCTGAAAATATTTTAGATCGATAGAACAGGTAAGGAAATGTGAGAGGTGAAATTTTCAGAAAAATCATGCTTTGCGTTTTCCAGAAACGTCTAACCTACCATCGACGTGAGTCACGCTGTATACATACGCATATATGAAGCTGAAGTTAATTTGATGGGGAAAAAACTAAAATGTTGATATAATACCTATAACATCTTGGTTACAAAAAATACTGATTCATATGGAAATGGACATTGTGTAAATATTACAACCTAATATCAAAGCACACAACTTAATACAGTTTCATATGTCTAACCAGTTGAATAAAAAGATAAATGAGATTAATTAGGTAAAATGAGAATTATCCTATATTTGGCCCTGAGTATATGATGACTAAAAAAAATAACAAATTATATTCCAGCAAATAATGAAAATTGTATCTATCTATTCAATTCATGTGATGATATCATCCCTTATGCGATGAATTCTGTTATTATACTTTGAAAAAATGTTGCTGATGCAACACCATATTTCATTTTTAGTCTGCTTATCCATGGCACTTTTCATCGGGTTCAGCCTCGTCTTTGTTAGATTCCTGTACGGAAATACTTCTTGCTTCGAGTGTTTTTTAATTTTCATCATGTCATGCTATCGAAGAATTGCACCAAAGCAGCTGATAAACAGTTGTTGTAATTTATGTTTTTGTTCGGCACTCGATGACATTTGGATATACTTTTTTCGATGATGGTTTTTACTTTCATATTCTGATATATAGTAAATGCATTAAACGACTTACCTTAAGGAGGTTCAATCCAAATTATGTGAATATGTTTGTTCTCCAATATATAACTCACTGTAGTATATTCTCGTCCACATGATCGTGGGACGAGAATATACTACAGTGTGTTATATATTGGAGAACAGACATGTGAAATATAATTAATGGATTAAATGACTTACCTTAAGGAGGTTCAATCCAAATTATATGAACAAGTTTGTTCTCCAATATATAACTCAATGTAGTATCACTTTAATAAAATGAATAAAAACCCTTTTGTCTAATTACCACTAGTTGATTTTATTTATACGACGGGTTTTGGATTTGACCCCATTATCAAGTATAAAATTGAAATATGAAGTTTGAAAACTCGGTTATATCGGGAGTTTTCAGGTAAGATGTAAGGACAGGTATTTGAAAAACATGTAGTTGGGCGAACCAGGATACCAACTTTAAACCATTCCTCGAAAATATTAGCTTCCATGTTCTTATGATAGTTAACATTGCAATCCTTAAGTTTTTTCAACATAATTTCAAAGAATTCAGAACTCATCCTTTACTTCCTCCGCAATGCACAATGATTAGTCGTTATTCTTTGTTTGGCAGGCATGTTAGGCGTAGACATTCCCGAACCATCAGTCCACCCTTTCGTAATTATGTCATGAGTGTCATACTTAATGATTTTATTAGATGAACATCTAAAGGTTTTGGTAATCCTGTATTACGTCGCGTCTTGCGTTCATAAGGTTTGTTTTTGACTATTTTATGTATAGTTGAGAAAGGAACTTCGGTCAAATCTGATGTTGCTTGTAATAGTTTGTTTTCTTCGAAACCAAACTTGAGATGTAGATTCTTATATTTGTTGAAACATACTTTCTGTGTTTCAATATTCAAATGCATCCGAATCTTATTCACTGGTATCTCTTTTTCGCATTGTTCACCATCGCTATTCGAATCACTACACAGGAAAAAGTCTGCGTTGTCATCACACTCGTTATTACTATTAGTACTTGTCCAAGGATACCACATTTTGAACAGATAACAGACATTTTAAGTAATTATAACTGCACGAATATCGAATTTCAACACTCAAATCGCGATCAGTTCCTGAACTGAACATTGACAACACGACGGCTCGCATTCTATTCGTCACCGTAACATGACTTCAAAATTAAATTTTATGACTTTTCAGCCAATCATAAAACTGGGTTAGTAAAAATCATCCAATACGAAACGCCAATTCTTCAGTCCATGTGGACTAGTTAGCAGCGGCTTTATTTCTTTGTTATGGGTTTTTTTTCTTTTGAGGGCGCTTTAAGTATGCACAATACCAGTTACTTCGACTATACATTAAAGTATTTGCTCTGAGAGAACTACAAATTTTCAAAAGAAACATAAGGAATTCATACATTATTTGAAAACATGTGTTTAGTCACTTTCAACATCCTCACTAACAAAGACATCAAAAAAATGTTTTCAAATGTATCAATTACTTGTTTTTGGTATATTGTAGTTCCCTAAAGATGTATAGAGTTAATTTTTGAAATTTATTTGCCTCCTTCCTCTCTTTGAAAGATTCCCAGTTTTTTTGTATCAACATGGAAAAGTAGAAGATCAAAAACTGTCTTTCCCAAAAGTTAATCTTTCTTAAAAATATACCCCTTTAATTTGAACTATGATAATGAAAATTATAGAAAGCTTGAAATTGATGGAAAAAAGAGTACATTATATTTATTTATAGTTTTCACTAACCCCAACTATCTTTTATAAATTATATTATGAACTTTTATTTTTCAGTGAGCAAGAACCTCCAAATTCAATGCTACTTTTACATAATATTGCTGATAATGAAGAAGGATGGATTCAGGTAGTGAATTCAATGATAAATGTAATCCCTCTCAAGGATCCATTAGGTCCATCTGTTATTACTCTCCTACTTGATGACTGTCCATTGCCGTCCAAGGAGTCAGTTCATAAGGTAATAAATATTAATAGGGAATACGCTTATGTGTCGGTTTGAATATTTTGATTCCAACAAGTACCCCCAATGAAGCTGTGAAAACTGCTTGGAATTACAAATGAAACTTTAACTTCTTCGTGATACAAATTTGAAATACAGAATTTTTAAACCAGCTGAATAACTTACACTTGGTGCTATCTGATAGACGAATAAATTGTTACTTCCCTTGTAGCCAGTACAAGTAGTGCTAGCGTTTGGGAGAAGTTACTTGAATTCAAGGTCAAATTGTAGGCTATTTTGAAATTTGAATATTTCAAAGGAAAAAGAGTTTGGAAAAATGTCTCTCACTATTAGAGATATCTGATATCTATTGCAATATTCAAAAATGTATAGGTTCAGGTGTTGGAACCTATATTGAATAAACAAAACATTACATCATGAAGCAAATTGATGAGCACAAAATAGTTTTATTGAAGATAAATGAAACTTCATTAGTAGAACATGCCTTTAACAAATTTCATCAATTTAATTTTGCAAACAGCAGTATCATTAAATTATCAGCCAATATCAAACTTTTCTGGCAAATAAATTGTTGTCGTCTTTTGGTTTCCAATTTGCCGATTTTAAGTATTTATTGCAAAACCATATTTATTGAATTTTTAGAAACATGATAATTTTGAATTATTCTAAGTGCCCAGATTACCCTCAATTTTTAATGAAACTAGAAAACTCATTTTTCTGACTTCAGGTGTACATCCATTTGACTTTGACAGTATCACTATGTTTCAACAAGATCCCACTTGCCATATTCATGTGCTATGCTTGGTACCTGAACTTGAATTTTTCAAGTTCAGTTTCAAGGTCAGCTACCAAATCGAGCACATGAATATGGCAAGTGGGATGTTGCTGAAATGTCGTCATATTTTGTCGTGGTAATGTCAAAGACGAATGGATATACTCTAGGAATGACACTTTAGCATGTGATACTATTCTTGAAGGACCACGCCAGGAGAAATAATAAATCATGTGCCTTAGCAGATAATTTCATTCAGTATGACAACAATATGGATTATAATAATACTTAAATTTTACATACTAAAAGAATCCTTCGAAAAGATTATTTTTAGAAATGGCTGAGATGAATAACGAACAAGCGATTAATAAAAGATCAAACCTCAACAATCTCAGTAAAATTTATATATTCATTTTTTTTTATCAAAAAGAAAAACTGCGATATTAGTGAAACAGTAACTTCCAACAGACCCGTAATTCGTATCAATTCTGTGAATGAGAACAAAGTTACAGCTGCCTTAAAAAAGTTGAGGGATAAATTTACCTGTGGCTACGATAGAATCCCAAGCTTCTAAGTCAAAGATTGTGCTCATGTCCTAGCCAAACCACTCCAAATCATCTTCAATTTTGCATTGAAAACAAACACCTTTCCACAAGTGTGGAAAAATAAGTAAAGTCATTCCCATTTTTAAAACTGGTGAGATAAATGACATGAAAAACTTTCGACCCATCACCTTGCTGTATAACTTTGCGAAAGGCTTTGAGATATGTATCTATGATAGAATATCCCCCAAAGTACAAAATATAATAATTCCTGAACAACATGGCTTTATCGCGAAAAAATAAGCTATAACTAATCTAATAACATTTACACAAATGATGAGTTTTGCTTTGGAAAATCAGCTTCAGTTAGACACAATATATACAGACTTCTCAAAGGCGTTCGAAAAGTTGGACCACACCATAATCATTTCAAAACTCAATGAGATTGGTTTCGAATCAAATCTGCTGATATTCTTTTATTCCTATCTCACAAATTGGTCCCAGTTTGTTGAATGCAGAGGACACAAATCTGATGAATACAATGCTACCAGTGGCGCTCCACAGGGAAGCAACCTATCTCCCCTTCTATTCTCTCTGTTCATCAACGACATAGGATTAGATATAGATTGCAAAATTCTATTATTTGCTGATGATCTAAAGGTTTTTCGTGTCATAGAGTCACCTAATGACATTGAAATCCTACAAAATGACTTGAAAAAATTAGCTCTCTAGTGTTCTTCAAACAATCTTCCACTCAATTTAAGTAAATGTAAATATACCATCTTTTGTAACAAACATACCACTATTGATTACAATTATTCAATAAATAATTATTTACTGGTAAAAACTGACAGCTGCAAAGACTTGGGAGTATTCTTTGATACCAAACTCTCATTTGCACTTCACATAGAGATAAGTGTAACTCCTGCAAAAAGAATGTTAGGGTTTAAATTCAGAAATTTTAAAGATTTCAAAAACATGGAAAGTTTTATCACTCTTTACAACTCATTTGTTAGATCTTGTTTATAATATGGTTGTCTTATCTGGTCACCTATATATACTTCCCACATTCAATCACTTGAATCTTCCAACGACGATTTATGAAATATGTAATATACAAACTAGATAATGTCGACCCCAGACTGGGAGCAGATAATGATTAATTTTTGCAGCGTTTTCATTTTCTATCTCTTGAATACAGAAGAATTTAATAATCTTGCGTATTCATATACAAACTGGTGAACAATCTTGTTAACTGACCAAAACTACTGTCTACTAGAGTTTCATGTGCCAAGAATCAGTGGTAGAACTGAACAATATTTTTACCTACCAACACGGAGAACCAATATGTTATTCAAATATCCCCTATTTGCAATGTGCTATAAATTTAATTAACTGTATCAGAAAGTAAACATTTATTAAACACCATTGAATATATTTAAAAAAGATATAAAAACTATTCTTATTGCGAAGCAACAAATACTCATTTAATTTTTTTTTTTTAATGAAGGTATTATAGTTACGGTATATGTATATTTTTCAACACTTTTATCCTAAACCTGTGTATTATGTTTTGCAAATCATCAAACACTCACTTGAAATTTATTTATTTTTTTTTTAATATTCCATGAATGTATTATTACTGTTATGATATGTATATATTTACTATATTCAATACTGTCATCCCAAAATTGTATACTGTGTCCTGTTATCAGATTATATGTTTACCCATTTACGGTAGAAAGTCACTAATCCGGTACTATTAAAAACCAGAGGGTTCCTGATTATTGGAATGTTCAGATTACTGGATTATAGAAAAAAAGTCATAATATATAAATGTCTTGTGTTTCTGTTTACTTGACATTTTTAACTACACACTATCCTGACTTCAAAACAACAGGTAAATACATAGACATGTAAACGTGATGAGTTTTGAGGTTAGACTGCTAGTCGACGACGCAGAGACGGAGCGCATAGGGCGAGGGAGGCGAGGGAGAAGGGTGCCGGGTTACTGAACGTATCAGTCTATTGAAGTGCTGGATTAGCGAAATTCTACTGTATATATTACAGTTGTCCTGAAGAAGGCAATGAACACTGCCAAAAGCTTGACATACACTATAACTAAATAGTCCCCTGCGCATTCCAGCGCGCGCACGCGCGCGTGTGTGTGTATATATTCATATATAAGTATACACTTATACATATATACACTTTTCATGAGAATTTTTTCAATAGATAAAAACTAGTTTTTATCATCTATTGTATTTGGAAAATACAGAAGACATACTAGAGCCACTATTCGAGGTTAAGTGGAAGAACAGGTTATTTTTATTGCGATGAAAATAAACTGAACTTCGCCTTTTATTTTCCTGTAATAGAAAATTTCATTTATGGTTTTGATATTCAGGTCGCTCAAATGAAAACATAGCTGTCGATGTATTGTTTAGCTAGGTACTCCTGGAAAAAGTTCATGAAAAAACCAGGACAGAATATCTATAGGATGTTTTCTATGCTAGTTTTTTCGTGAACTTACAAACGTTCATGTACATGTCGCTCATGGAAAATATCGAGTGCTTCATAAATCAACCCACCGTGACGGCGGGGTTTATTATGGATGAACTCTAACTGCCGTGATATTACTAGTCAGCGGACTTTTCGAAAGGAACCACTTGAAGTGTTTGTGAGCAAGTCTTCGGATTGAATCCGTATCGGTTCGACCTTTGCTATGTCGGCTGCAGCCTGATAATTTGTTTATATATCAGGAGCTTGTTGTCAACACTCAGTTTGGAATTTCGTGCAATGAGAGGGTAGTTGCGTTTAATCGCCGCTCCCGCTCTCTGAATTGCCAGACTCAAGTGCTCATGAAAATTCAAGCTGTTGTCCAGGATAACTCCCAGATACTTCGTACTTTTCTGTTCTTCCACACACTTTCCTTGAATCGTCAATTTCCTGAAGATCTTCACGTCGGTGAATTTCTTCGTGAAATTCGTTTTTGCGAACATTGGAAAGTCATATGTATACAGAGAGTATAGGTGTAGGGATAAACAGAACCCCTGTGGAACACCTGCTTCCACTGAAAAATCCGTGATGATAGCTTAGTGTATTCTCACCCTAAATTTCCGGTTGACCAGATAAGAATCCAAGATTCTTATCACGTATAAAGGCATGTGTGCCGTCCACATTTTTGCGATAAATCCCTCTGTCCAAACGGTGTCAAAGGCTTTATGTAAGTCCAACAGGACCATGACTGTATTATTCTTCTGGTGAAAGGCCTCCTTTATTCCGTGGACAAGTTGGACCAGTTGCGCGGTCGTGTTACGTCCCTGCCTGAATCCAAACTGTTTCTCCAAAACAAGTTTCAGCCTTTTCTCCAGACGGAGAAGTCTGTTCAATAAGATCTTGTCAGCGACCAAACTAAGTAGCGAAATCAGTCGGTAGCTCTCTCTCTCTAGTCCTTCGGTTTTCCCGATTTATTAATGTGTATTACCTCCACACGCTTCAGGCAGTCTGGGTAATGTTGCAATCTGAATAATGAAAATAATAATGGTACTTGAATGATTCATATACAATGAAGATAAAATTTGATACCAGTCACGTCATATTTTTCTCTCACTCATGTATCAATGTACTTTGCAACATTTTTTCAATTAATTCAAATATAGACATCAAATAATCGAATAATTATTATCTTTCAGGTAGTTGATATGTTACATCTCTCTAAAGAAGAGGCAATCTCAGGAAGATCAAATTCTCCAAGGCAAAGAAACATTTGTGTTGTACTTGGTTGCATTGCAGAAAAGTTAGCCGGACCAAGGAATATGGAAATATTGAATAATAGTATAATAGATTATTTATTAACTAATTTGGTAAGGATACATTGATTCATTCATTTTGAAAAATATTCTCTGATTTTTAAGTATCAACATATATCACTATACGCGATTCTTAAAGCCTTATAATTCAAACATCGTCAACAATGAATAATTTATGAATTCATTCTAGTGACCCAACCCACCTTTGCAGAAGTAGCAGAGCATATATGCCTACATTTTTTTGTCTTAGTATTGTATTAACTTGTTACTGATAATAATGACTTCTGATAAAATGCACTCTAACGAAACACACCTATCAGTTTGAATTTCAAAATAGGCAAGTATTTATCTTCCTTAATGCAACACAAAATGAAAATGTGATCTTCATTTTCAAAATGATGCACTACGTAAAACAAAACTGACACGACACAACTGCAACGTTTCTTCATCACGCATGTCTCATTTGTTTGAGAGGCCACTTGAATTTATTTTGTCTCTCAATATTTTCAATTTTGCGATAATACCTAAGATATCAATTTGAATTGTATGGTTAATGTACATAAAATGCCTAATTTAACTAACATTTTTAATTTGATAAGGATTAATATCATATCCATATGAATAACTTTCCAATCACCACATTATATATGACTTTTTTCTAAACATTAAAATGGGTATATAAGCTCTCAAGGGTACCCAGTAACTCGGAATAGTCAGGGATAATGGAAATTCTTTGAAAGTAGGAGATAACGTCAGGGAATGACGTTTCCAATACTCGAAAGTCATAAATTTTCACCCATTTCTAAGATCTCAAATATTTGAATATTTATATTTATCATATCATTCGGAAATATTTAAATTTGTAACTTACTGTGATTTTCTTCCATTTGTTATATTCTTTCATATTGTATTCAGTTGTAAACTTCAGTAAAATTTCTTGAGAAGCGTCATTTTATAGAGTATTTGGTATTCTTCTATTCTGGTTTCCTATTCCCCAAAGTTTTGAGGGGCATTTAATATATTTTCAAAGATTCTTTGATGAGATTCAATTAAATTCAAACTTTTTACCATATGATATTGGTTATGATTAGTTTCTTTGTAACACATTTCATGTCAGGAAAAACCTAGAAAAGTTAGGGAATTCAATTCAGTGAATGCTGAGTATCCTGCTATCCTTGAAAGATAGACATATGCCATTGCAGACTTTTCTGTAGACCTAGAAAAGAAGAACAATATGTTGTAAATTGTTTTATTATTTCTCATTGGTAGCATTTTCATTATATTTCAACCAATTCATTAATTAATCAAATACATAAAAAAACATTCCTATTGAATGCACCTGTTGGTGAAAACTGTATGAAAATCTGTTCGGTAGTCTTGTAGGAAATATGATATGATATGATGATAATACAGGAATTTTTTTGATGAAATTGCAAGAAAAGTGAAATTTCATCTATTATTTCAAAGAACTTGGGCGGATTCTCATGTTTAAATTATTTTTAGGACCAACAAACAGTAGCAAATATGATATGATATGATGATAATACAGGAATTTTTTTGATGAAATTGCAAGAAAAGTGAAATTTCATCCATTATTTCAAAGAACTTGGGCGGATTCTCATTTTTAAATTATTTTTAGGACCAACAAACAGATCCAAATGTTATATTATTTTCTTTGATAGCATTGGAGAAATTTGCTCAAACCAGTATCAACAAAGTACGCATAATGGAAAAGCTTAAAAATTTCGAAACGTGTCCTATATCAGATTTGGAAAGTTGGAAGGAATCGAGTCATTATGTCAAAAGGCAAGTCGGATTTTGTGTGCAATGGATGCTTGATAATCTATGTAAGTGATCTTTCTTAATCCGCATTTCCATAACATTTTCCAAGTTTAGTAAGAATTCTGGCATAAGGAAATACATTTGGGCTCTTGTACAAAATAAGATGTAATTGAAGACAGTTTCCAATTGTATTATCTTAAACTAATATAAGGAAATGCATTTGGGCTCTTGTACGAAATAAGATGTAATTGAAAACAGTTTCCAATTGTATTATCTTAAACTAATATAAGGAAATGCATTTCGGCTCTTGTACGAAATAAGATGTAATTGAAAACAGTTTCCAATTGTATTATCTTAAACTAATATAAGGAAATGCATTTGGGCTCTTGTACAAAATAAGATGTAATTGAAAACAGTTTCCAATTGTATTATCTTGAACTAATATAAGGAAATGCATTTCGGCTCTTGTAGGAAATAAGATGTAATTGAAAACACTTTCCAATTGTATTATCTCAAACTAAAATATTGAACAGTTTGAATATTCATAGAAACTTCATTTTTCTATACATATAAAATTCTTGTCATACTTCCTTTCAGTTATAATGAATAACAATTTTGCTGCTACTTGAGAGCCGTATTTGTCCATTTCTTCTAAGTTTCTGTAAAACACCACAGTCTCAAGAACTTATTTTTTCGAAGATTCTATAGCTTTCTACTGTGCCACAGTTTGGTCACAGCCCCTTATGACTCTTGAGAAATTATCCCTTATAACCCCCTAACGACCCTGAGAGATGTATTTTGACCTGTCAGACCAAAGCATCCAGAGGGACACAAGGTAATATATCCAGTGGGGTCCAATGACTAATGGATCATTAGTCCATTAGACCATTAGTAGGGCTATGAGGGATCATTTCTCAAGAGTCTTAAGGGGCTGTGAGAAAACTGCGGCACAGTAGAAAGCTATAGAATCTTCGAAAAGTTGAAGTGAAACCTCAAAATAGATGTTCCAACTTATTTTTTCTTTACACTCATCTTTTCTTGAGTGTTCAAAAATCTTGTTTCTCATTCCTATTTTCTTCTGGATATGATTTAGAATGTGTCAAAGCTATTTTCCTGATTTGTTGGGCGTGATATGCATGTTTTTATGCCCTGACAACTTGAGCTTTTCGTCGGTTACCTCATCGCCTTTGATAATGTCAACCTAAATAGTTTTGACACAGTTACATCCTTTGGATTGTCCAATAATTGTTTGCCTCTTGTAAAAAGTAGTTAGTGAGTAACCTATCAAAATTCTGAGCTGATCTCATCTCTGTTGAAGCTTGAATCAGTTTCTCAATTTTTGTTTTCATTTAGTCCCTTCTGAAGATTTTCCTTTTGAGTTCTCAGGTATGATTTCCCAGTATTCTTTTTGTTTCTTATTAGTCCCTTTCCTCCTGGTTCAGGTCCTATATCATTAGTCATAGTGGATCTGACATTGATTCTATTAAAGTAGAAATAATTCATGATTTAAATGAAACTTTTCTCTGGTAACAAATTTGTCAAAATCTTACCTATTTGTAACTCAAAAAATATATAATCAATATCCTTCCATCCAGTTTTAACTAATGAGATCATTTATAAAAACTTCACAAAATGTATAGGAGACTGTATTGATGAAAAGCTCACTTGGAATAAACAGTAGTTTGTTGAAATTCATCAATAATATTCTGGAAGGTTATGTGCTTTATAAGGTAGGAGAAAACTTTTTACTTCCTTCCAGAATTTCATGGAGCTTTTTACGACTGTGACATACAGTGCATTTCTTTAATGCCCCCCTTTTATTTTTTGAACGGGTCAACTCAGAAAATTGAAATTTGGGATAATGAAATTAATGCATGTATACTTTATTTTGAAGTGAAATTGACAGATAAAATTTTCAAGATGGCGACTGGGCGCCATAAAAACGACAAAAAATGTCAGTACGACAATGAACATCATTGATCAGTTAGAATATTCTCATTTAGTTTTCGGTTTTACTAGTAGAAAGGTACCACGTCAACAATCTCGTAAATAGGTCAATTCTCGTCCATTGGAAGAAAAAATTGAAGAGATTTTTATTTACGGTGCGATGCATAACTTTCACAAGACCAAAAGGATTTTCAATGAACGTTTTCCGAATCGTCCTATCTGTAGAAAATATTTGAGGGAACTTGTATCTAAATTCACAACTACCGGTAGTGTACATAACAAAAAGTGAAATGGTGGTAAATCCTGAACAGTCTACTTATTCCGTNGGAATTTGCCAGATGATAGGGAATTATTAAATATATAGAAAAGTGGTCGAGCTAAAATAAAGCTAAATGATTTAAGAAAAGTTGGAGGAATTCCATCAGGACCGGGGCCTTTGTTGATATTAAGTTCGAACAGTTTTTTGTAAATTTTAGAGATTTCAATATGATAATTGGACACATCAACCATGGATGTAATATTGGTATCATAAGGATGTAAAGATTGACTTGTATAGACGGAAGAAAATTGATTAGCAAAAAGGTTGACAATATCGATCCCATTGGTAGCAGTACGATTACCAGAAGTCATTGTATTAGGGATTGTGTTATTTTCCCTTTTACTGCTTACAAATTTCCAAAAAGATTTAACATTATTAATTACAGAATGTTCAGTGTGTTGGATGTAATCTGTATTACATTGTCTGGATAAAGATTTACATCTTGGATCTTAAATTGCTAAATGCTGCGTAGCTTTCTGGATACCTTGCGCTTTTGTAGATCTTGTGAGCTAATTTCTTTTCATAAAGTAGTTTCTTCAGCTCAGGGGAGTGCCAGCATGGAAATCTCCTTTCACGGATTTTTTTTTGAGGAACGAAGCGATCAATGATAGAATAAAAAATGTCGTAAAATATTGAAATCATATCAGAAAGCTCCTTTCCATGTAATGAACCATCCCAATCGATTGCTTCAAGGGTCGAATTTATCGATGCATTGTCAGCGAGTAATATTCTTCACCAGATGAATATTCGTTTGAGATTTTGAGTGGCAAATAACGTTCAAGTGGAGGATGATGCGAGTCTTCAGGAGTTAAGATGTCGACAGCCTTTAGTACCGTAAGATCTACTGGTGATTGTTATATTTTTTGTATTAATCATACAAGCATGGATTCAAATAAATTACTTTAATATAATAAAACAAGATACATCATCTCGATACCACATACCATTACTCGACTCCCGTTAACCTTGGTCTGTCCGTTGTTCGTCAACCTAGGTATGTTCGTTGACATAGTTCTCATAACATCTCTCTTTTTACAAAACTAACTTATTGCTAACGCTAATTGGAATTCAATTTCTGAGACTTGATTATTTTTCTGCCTTTTTTAGATATTTTATTTTTCATTATTTCAATTTTTTGAGTTGTCCCATTCAAAAAATAAAAAGGGGGGAGATTAAAGAAATTCACTATATTTTAGTGTTTCACATATTCTGGATATAAATCCATAAAAGAATCTGCAAATAAGCAATCTCAAACTAGTGAGAAAAAATCTATCAAATGTTTTCATAAGCTTCCATACTTGAAACCAACTAAAAATTTGTATAAACTGAAATGATTATTGAATTTGGATTCACTTCATGAATTGGTAATTTGTTATTCCATTCACATCACCATTGTAGATACAAAATAAAAGCCTACATTATAATAAATCGTATAATCATTTCATTTTTAAGAACAATTTTCGAGTAACATAAATATCTGTTTAATCCTTATTTCTCATTTTTTATTTTATTTCTGGGGGACGACAAAAAAATGATTGCTTTTCTTAAACATAAAATATTGTTTTCATATTATCTTTCAGTTATAATGAACAATCGTAAATATAGTTACCAAACCATCAAAATGGACAATATTAATGCAATGTTAAATACTAGCGATGTAAGTGAATATTTAAAGATATCTCCTGATGGACTAGAAGCTAGATGTGATGCCTACTCCTTTGAAAGCGTGAGATGTACAGCTCAAGCCGATAAGGGAGTTTGGTATTATGAAGTATGTATTATAACTCCAGGGGTCATGCAGATCGGATGGGCAACAAAGAATAGCAATTTTTTGAACCATGTAAGTACAAGTCAATCAAGAATTTTGTTTCATGCTGTGGTATTCAGTCTAAATTTTTTTTCTTTTCCAGGAGGGCTACGGTATAGGTGATGATAGGTACTCTTTAGCTTATGACGGTTGTCGAAAGTTGATTTGGTACAATGCAAAATCAGATCCTCAAAGTTTACCCAAGTGGGAGTCTGGAGATATCCTTGGTTGCCTTCTTGATCTTGATAATCAACAAATAATATTTTCTGTAAATGGAGTTTGCTTACCTTCATGTATGCATGTGTTCACTATGGCAAAGTGAGTAAAGTTTTATTTATCCTATATACTTTTTGCAGGCAAATAATAATAAGGAGATGTCAATTGGGGATTTTTTTTTAAACAGATTGCTGTTGTAAGCAATTAGGAACAAATTACAATTTCAATTAGTTTTGCATACTCAGAGATTCAATAACAACGGAAATGAAGATACATTCATTAGAATTATTTAACATAGATAGATAGATACTTTATTGGTGTTAATATACTTACAGTATTCACACAAGTCAAACAAAGATACAACATAAAATAAGCTAATTAACATTATATTAAAATTACACACTAAAACAATCTTAAATAATTTCACGAAACTACATTTAAAGGTGAATACAATATAAAAATATTATCATGATTCGTCTTGTGTATTTATGTACTAAGGTCATCCTGTAAAAATTCATCTATACTGTAGTAAGCTTTAGATTCTAAAAACTCTTTTATTTTACGTTTGAATTCGCTAGTAGTTAATTTTTTTGTTTCCTCGTGAAGTTTATTATAAAATTTCACAGCCCAGTACTTCAGTCCATTTTGGCCTTTTTTAAGGCGACATGTATTAAAGATAATATCTTTTTTATTTCTAGTGTCGTATTCGTGTCTATTTTCAAATGATTCATATTGAGGTATATGCGATTTTATATAGAGTAAATTTTCTAATATGTATAATGATGGGAATGTTNTCGTCGAACCAGGTATTGTTTACTTCACGAGGTTTAACAGTATACTTTTTTTCTGGGAAAGCTTGTTGTAGAGCACTGGATAGAATATCAATGAAAATACTGAATTTTTGTTCTATTGTTATATCAATATTATTTATAAAAGACCATGAGTTATTTTCTATGAGTTTGTAGAAAATAAACTTACCGCGACTAGTTATTGGTCGACACACTTTAAGTATCTGTGATTTCCTTAGAGGTTCCACGGCAATGTGAATAGACTGCCCACGGTGATCTGTTATATCTGTTTCATATGTATTTATAGTATACAATGATAGATTGAAATTACTTTGGTAATTTCTTATCAATACTTCAGAGGAAGAAAATATAAACTCTGATAATTTTAGGTGTCAGGGATATGATAATGGTAATAATACAAAAGACGAAATTAATGATTTTGAACAAAGAATTCTAAATAATTAATCAAGACTTTTATTACTTTGTGCAAACATATTGCTGAATCTAGAAAAAGTTCTTGATTCTTTTCCAATAATTCAGTTATGATGCAAACACTAGAGGAATCATGGAGACTAGAAAGATTTTCAAAATTGAATAGTGTTAGACCATGAGTTATTGAGCGCACATCTGCATTGGTTTCAAATTATTCAAACATTGATACGCCCTTATATTTCAATTCAGAAATATCGAGTTTGACAGTATTTACATTGACATCAGATGATATTGATGCTATTTTCACAAACTGGCAAATTTGTTGAAAAGTATTAACTGTGGGGAATAATCGATAACTGATGACAACATTGAAGAGAGGACAACGGATGAATTGATCTAGTTGTCCTCACAGCAGATATTGCATTGATGGTTTGAGTTACAAAGTTATTCCATTAGTGGTGGGTTGACTTCGTTACTTTGCGCAATCAAGTGTAGGTAGCCACACATCATTCATGTGAATTCCTTTTTTTTTTAAATCGTTTGTTTTTCTGAATTTCTATCGCCTCAGTACATAGTCTTGGGTAGTAGCTCCGAGGTATTTTGGGTACTTTGGCCTCTTTTTGTTTTTTTATCGTAGTGTATTTTTTGCTAGATTGATTTGTCGGTATGAGGTGAATCTTGTGTTTTAAGAACATGGTACTTACACTTCTCTTCGTGGAAGTCAAACTCTGAAAGGCAATCCGTCACAAAGCTGAATTTTGACATGGACTGTAGAGCTAAATTTGGTTTCTCTAAAGATTTGGTGTTGAATCACGAATGCTTTGTTTTTAAGTCTCTGGATTCAACTACTTGCCTTACAGTGAAAATACAGAGACTTACAGAAAACAGATCACAGATCACATCTAAAGATCATTATCAAAGCTTATTGGTAAAGTACCATGTTTGGGGGCATCATTGACTTCCTTAGATAAGTTTTTGTAAGAGATGTTCATACTTACTTGTACCCAAGCACTTATGTTTAAATTATTCATTAATGTGAATTCCCAATGAAAATGTGGAAACTCCCACAATAATACTTTGGTTTGATAATAATAAATATTTGATCTATAGCATTATAGTGAAGGAGTAGTTGAAGTTTATTTATTTATTTATTTACGGCAATGACTATTTTTTACAAGATAATTTACAAGGGATTCATGCCGCCCATTATTTGTGAAGCAAAAAATTGTGACCTTAGTATGTCTTTTTATTTTGGAAACAGTGTGTCTTATCCACAAAAAATATAAAAATCAATTTGGGAACACCGCAACTTATAGTACACGTCAGTCTTACTGCGTTTCCCTTCCCACACCTTCTCTAGCCCTTACACAAAATTCTATTATTTTAATAGCAAGAAGTTATTTAACCACCTTCCCATTAATTTAAGGCGTAACCCTGTGGTACACCCGATGAAACTGTGATTGAGGAAGATACTGAACATTCAGAATGTAGAGATTTGTATATGCAAGTCAACATTGTAAAAAAATTGTTGTAAATTTATTTTCTGATATCTGTTTGTATAATGAGTATTTTATTTTACTGTCACAAATAAGTATGGGTGTCAAAAATAAATGATTCAATGTTGTAGGTCAGGATTCTTCGCCGCAGCAAGCTTTATGTCATTCCAGCAGTGTCGCTTCAATTTTGGTGCTCAACCATTCAAATATCCACCAACGATGGCCTATTCCACATTCAATGAATATGGTTCACTTAGACCCGAGGACAAGATTGTCTTGCCCAGACACATTTTATTGAACCAACTCAGAGAGCAGAATATAGGCGAAGATAGCTGCACTCTGTGCTATGACCAAAAAGCTTCAATTCGGCTTCTTCCTTGTGAACATTCGTAAGTAATATTTCTTAGAGGTCATTCAAGATATGATATTTCAAATCTTTGCAAGTTTCAACCATGTACAATTTACGATGAGTACTGACCAATGAGTTCACCTCAAAAAATTGTCACAAAAAAGACAAATTAGGACAATTTTTCCCAAATTAAGGCACTTAGTATTTTTTTCAAATCATGACAAAATTTAAAATTAGGTAACAGTTCATTGAATAATCAATTTGCTTTTTAAAAACCTTGGATAACCTGAAAACTGAATTTAACAGTTGTCGGGATGGTAGCTGGTGTTGTTGGCGTGAGTAGTTTGTTCCTCTCATTCAATCAACCAATTCAATCAGGTGAATCGGTGGTGCGAGCCGAGAGGCAGGACCACGGTCGATTTTCAATGCCTATCGTCCAACCCGTGCTAGGAATTGCACGTTAAATGGTAAGACCTTGTTAATCTTCAGCTCACACAAGTTTCGACTTCTGAGGGTTGTCGTTTGTAGAGGGGCGACAGCTTTAACGAAAAAACTAACAGATTTAACAGAGTTGTTTTAAAGAACAATTTCCAATCTAACAGTTCCAAAAATACAAGTTGGGTTTCCCACTCAACGCAGACAGCCTTCAAACTAGTGGAAAGTCCACTGTGACATTTTCATTTATAAAATTTGTTCCCCTTATAAAAAAGGGAAATTTACAACTTAATAAAATCATGTGTAAAAGCTATCAGCCCCTAATAGTATTCTATTCAAAATCGGGAACTATTTTACTTTCGAATTTGAAAAAATATATATTTCAGTCCAATATTCTCACAAGGGCATTATCTTATTTCTATTGGAGGATCAGCCAATAATTCCACCAAAAAAACTTTCGAAATCTTTACGAAATGAAACTATTGAATGCATATATAAATTATAGCAGTCAGAATCTACAGTAAATGTCTATGATTTAACCGACTTAGTAGATTTGACCTCAGAAAAAAATTGTTGTTTCATTCATTCTATAACGAATAAATAAAAGGTTCGTCACATAAATTTTATAGAAATCAGTAATATTCATAATCAGAACACCAGGCAAGCAAACCGGCCAGTTATTAATTTCACATATAATTTTGGACAAAAATCGACTGTCAAGTCAGTCATTGCTGACACTTTGAGATATAACCTGCATATTCGCAGTCAACGTACATACTACTGATGATGTCTGCCATGGTAGTACATTTGGTACTACAAGTTCCATTTGACCATGTCCTNCAATTCGGTGTAATTTTTCCAAGAGTAGTTGGTGATCAACTGTATCAAACGCTCTACTTAGGTCAAAATAAAGAGCAATGGGATTTTGTTTATTATTAAGGCAGCTATAGACGGTAGTATTGAGATCAGATATGGCGGTATTTGTTGATTTGTTCCTTCTAAATCCATTCTGACAATCAAATAATAAGTTATGTTGATTCAAAAATTTATTGAGACGTTCATTATATGCCATATCAAAAATTTTGGCTAGTTGGCTCTGTAAGCAGACATTTCGGTAATTATCTACTATCTCTCTAGATCCTTTGTTTTTGAAAATTGGTATAGATTTAGAGACCTTTAGAATCAATGGGTACTGTCCTGACAAAAAAGATTCATTGATTATGTGAGCTAAAGGCAAACCTATCGTTTCCTTGACATTTTACATTCATAAAATGTATACTGAAAATATTACTTATTTCTTCGTGATCTGCTATTTTTTTATCATTAACAGTAAATTGATTCACTGAATTGAAATTTGGTTTATTTTTTGACTCGTTAATTATTTTCCAACTTTCTCTCATCAGTGAGTAGTGAGGTGAAATAGCTCCCCAATCGGATCTCCGGGTGGGGGCTAATTCAGGGGCATCATCCTGCAGAAGTTATTCGAAAATCACTATTTCTAACAGTCAGCAGGGTCTTCCTAACATCAGTCCACAGGGAAATAGCATGATAATTGCAGTTGCTAAGAGGCCCACTAGCAATTTCAAAATCGATTTCTGCAACATCAGAGGACTCAACTCAAATATAAAGTCAGCGCAATCAAATAGTCTTCATATTCTTGTACTCACAGAAACCAAAGTCAGTGCTTCAACGAACCCCATCAATTTTTTATATCCCGGCTATGATTTCCACTCCCGATTCAGGCGTAACTTTGGAATAT